GTGAACTCAAGTCGACCCAAGTCGTGAACTCAAGTCGACTCGAGTCGTGAACTCAAGTCGACCCAAGTCGTGAACTCAAGTCGACTCAAGTTGTGAACTCAAGTCGACTCAAGTTGTGAACTCAAATCGTAAACTTAAGTTCTTAAAATATTCATCTTTTATGAACTTGCGTCGACTAGAGGACGAATATTTCAGATATATTATTATTGATATTTGTTGTTATTTACTTTTTACTTTAGATCCAACTTGAGTTGTGAATACAAAATATATAGTTATCGACTAGAAGACGAATAGTTCTCTGAACTTGACTCGTCAATTTAAGTCGATTAGAGGACGAATATTTCAAATTAATAATATTTATTAAATATTTTTTCTGCTTTTTACATTTTTTACTTGACACTTCTAATTTGAATTGTGAAAACTGAAAAGAATTATATAAATGAGTCGACTATATGATGAATATTCCAAATTAGTTATTATGAAAATATTTTTTGTTTTTTATATTTTTTTACTTTAGACTTCCAACTTGAGTCTTGACGTGAATAAGAATTATATATTTGAAGTTGAGTCGACTAGAGGAAGAAAAGTTCTATGAACATGAGTCGACTAGAGGACGAATATTTTTAATATTATTAATTAAGATATTTTTTGTTTTTACAATTTTTACTTTAGACTTCCAGTTGAGTCGTGAATACATATATAGTTGAGTAGATTAGAGAACGAATAGTTCAAATTAATTGTTATTATTTAAGATTCTATTATTTACATTTTTGTACTTAAAAATTTCAACTTGAGTCGTCAATTTGTGTCGACTAGAGGACGAATATTTTAAATTAATTATTAAGATATTTGATCTGTTATTTACATTTTATTACTTAAGACTTCCAACTTGAATTATGAATACCAATTATTTACTTCATTAACTTATTCCTCATTTTACTTGATCAAATAAATTTATTAACATTTTTTGATTGAATACTCAAAAAAATTCTTATTTACATTTATTTGATTGAATAATATTCTCATAATAAAATATTTTGCAGGTATCTGAATATTTTGAAATTATATCTCAACCATATTTTGAATTTTATATAAGACAGACATGTGATAATAATCAAAACTATGAGATGACGGGTGAATCTTCTAGCATTCCTCCTCATCTGTATTTAATATATATTAAGTATATTTATAGTCCCTCTTTTAGGTAATTATTTTATTTAGTCATTAATGGTTAATAACTATTAAAATATTTTAATAATATCAAATGTACTTGTCCAAGATACATATATAAAATTAGAAGAAAAAAATAAATATACGTGTTTAAAAAATAGCGATAAAATTAAACAAATCTGGCCAGAAAGTTCGTACTTAATTCTGAACTATGATAGGACATAGCGATACTATTAAATCTAGACATACTGACACATTTAATGAAGGTGTCATGACTGGTCTGTTGTTTTGAATCCTCTTTTTCTAATACCGGAAATTATTTTAAAACTCAAAAAATAGAAGATTTATTATATTTAAATTTATAAATATAAAAAATAAGAAAAAAAAATTCTATTATGATTATTTACTAGATTAGATTGAAAATATATTTTATTTTTAAACAAAAAATTTTTATCTGGGATGGCATTGTGTGTTTTTATTGATTCAATCGATCCTCATGTGTTGAAGTTGAGTCAATTTTATGACATTTTTTTAAAAAAATTTTAAATATAAAAAAAACAAAAATGCATGCATGTGTTGTATATATTTTATACAATACCATACATGGTATTGAATCTTTTTAATTAAATATATTTAATCTAATAATTAATTTAATAAAATTCTAAGATATAAAATAAAATTAAAAGTATTTTAAAATACCATATTTTGTATTAATATTTTGTTTTAGATTTATTATTTATATGACTGCAGCATATATTAATTTTAATCTTATTCGAATAAATACTGATATAAAAAAAATAAACAATAATAATTAAATTTTAAATATTTATTTTATTAAAATTCTAACTTATAAAATAAAATTAAAAGTATTTTAAAATTCCATATTTTGTATTGATAGCTTGAAGATTTATTTTTTATATGACTGCGGCGTATATTAATTTCTTATTCGACTCTGTGAATGACTCAGAAAATGTTAGTAACTTTGACAAAAATGAGGACGTGAACGACATTAACCTAATGCCTGATGATATAGACCCTTATTCGGAGGTAAAATTATAAGTTTCACGTCAATCGGCGGAAAATTCGGCGCACGACAATTCGGCGCAGAAAACTCGGCGCGGCGTTATTTCGGCGCATCGTCAATTCAGCGCGGAGACAACTCGGCGCAACGTCAATTAGGCGCGTATCTAATACAGTTGCAATTTATTATAAATTTATTAGTATAAAAAAAAGGATGATTAAATAGAAATGATTTTGAATGTTGATCATATTAATTATTTCTTCATATTTTTTTTACAAAATCAATAAATATATTATATTATATTATATTGTAATTTTTAGGGAGGCATATGAATTCCCTGATCTTATAAAAGATGAGATCAAGGATTATCTCGATGATAAAGTAGCGTCCCCTACAACGAATATACTAGATTGGTGGGAAAAAAATAGCCTTATCTATCCTACATTGTCGCTGATTGCAAAAGATTTTCTTGCCCAGCAATCATCAAGTGTGCCGAGTGAGAGAGCCTTTAGCAAGACAGTGGATTTCCTGACGAAAAAAAGAAATAGGATGTCACCATCCACCTTAAAGCATTGTTTATCCTTGAATAACTGGGATATCGATATATGGCAATAATATTTATATTTTTTTCTTATGTTATACCGTATAATATTTTTTTCTTATGTTATATTTATATTATTATATCTTATTTAGAAACAGCAAAATAAAGTAAATTATGTAATTATTGTTTGATTAGATTAAGATAAGATAATTCTTTACTAAAGAGGTGATTTTTTAAATATTTTAAAAGCTATTAACCATTAATTATAAAATAAAATAATTATCTAAAAGAATGACTAAAGAGGGACTATAAAAATACTAAATATATATTAAATACAGCTAAGGAAGAGTTTTAAAGAAAATTCACCCGTCATCTCGTAATTTTGATTATTATCACACGTATGGTTTTCTTATATAAAATTTAAATCATGGTGAGATATAATCAAAATATTCAGATACCTGCGAAATATTTTTTGAGAATATAGTATTCATTCAAAAAATGTTTATAAGAATTTATTTGATCAAATAAATAGAGGAATAAGATAATGAAGTATATGAATCTTAAATAATAATTAATTTGAAATAAAAAATAATAATTACCTAAAAGAAGGACTAGAAATACTAAAAATAAATTAAATACATATGAGGAGGAGTGATAAAGAAGATTCACCCATCTCATAGTTTGATTATTTTCACGCGTCTGTCTTATATAAAATTCAAAATACGGTTGAGATATAATTTCAAAATATTTAGATACCTGCAAAATATTTTATTATTTCAGATTATTATTCAATCAAAAAATGTTAATAAGAATTTATTTGATAAAATAAAATGAGGAATAAGATAATTATGTAAATAATTGGTATTCACGATTCAAGTTGGAAGTCTTAAGTAATAAAATATAAATAACAGAACAAATATCTTAAATAATAATAATTAATTTGAAATATTCGTCCTCTAGTCAACTTAAATTGACGATTTTAGTTCATTGAAAAATTCGTCCTCTAGTCGACTCAACTATATAATTTGTATTCCTAAATCAAGTTGGATGTCTAAAGTAAAAAAATGTAAATAACAGAACAAATATCTTAAATAATAATTAATTAGAAGTTCATCCTCTAGTCGACTTAATTTGACGACTCAAAAGTTCAAAGAACTATTCGCCCTCTAGTCGACAACTATATATTTTGTATTCACGACACAGGTTGGAAGTCTTAAAATGTAAATAACAGAACAAATAGCTTAAATAATAATATCTATTTTGAAATATTCGTCCTCGTCGACTCAAGTTCATAGAACTATTGATTAGTCGACACAACTATATAATTTATATTAACGACTCATGAAAGTCTAAAGTAAAAAATGTAAAAAACAAAAAATATCTTAAATAATAATAACTAATTTGAAATTTTCGTCCTCTAGTCGACTCAAGTTCATAGAACTATTGGTCCTCTAGCCGACACAACTATATAATTTATAATAACTTAACGAGTCATAAAGGTCTAAAGTAGGAAATGTAAAATACAAAAAATATCTTAATTAATAATACCAAATTTGAAATATTCGTCCTCTAGTCGACGACTTAAGTTCATAGAAATATTCGTCCTCTAGTCGGCTCAACTATATAATTATATTCACGAGTCATGACTCAAGTTGGAAGTCGAAAATAGTAAAATATAAACTATTTTAATTAATAATAAATAATAATAGATCTGAAATATTCGTCCTCTAGTCGACGACTTAAGTTCATAAAATATTCGTCCTCTAGTCGACGACTCAAGTTCATAAAATATTCGTCCTCTAGTCGACGACTCAAGTTAATAAAATATTCGTCCTCTAGTCGATGAGCAAGTTCATAAAATATTCGTCCTCTAGTCGACTAGAGGACGAATTTTGACTCTGTAAATATGCATATTATTCAAATATTAAAAAATTCGTAAGTTAACAAAAAAAATTTATCACACCCTTAATTGGGGTTTTCAGTCATTTTAATTATCAAAAATCCCCTCCAAAGAATATATATAATATATCACTTTAAGCAATAATTTTTAGAAAAAGAGAATTTTTATAAAAAAAATAAAAGACATAATTCTTTTTATAAATTTATATTACAGTCAAAGATTATAATAAGAGGATTTAAAGATCTATAATTAATGGTATTTTATTATAGACAATTCAATAATAACATGTCAAATATCATCAAATCTGTCAAATAGACACATTAATTACGCCTAAACAGACAGGACAACTTTCATTTATCTGATTTTGACGAGACCAATTTATTCGTTATTCATTGTTAGTAAACATTAACTCAGAAGGCGGGATATATTATTATATTACATTAACTTCAATCTTATATAAATATTTCAATTCTAAATTATAAAGTATTTAAATTATAAATCATATATTTATTATAATATCTTTTTAGGTTTTTTTGCTTGACAAATGTTTTATGCTCAATTTGTATTGAGTAAAAAAGGACCTTTAGCAAAAATATGGCTAGCAGCTCATTGGGAAAAAAAGTTGACTAAAGCTCATGTATATGAAACCTCTATTGAAAATAGTGTGGAAGGAATACTACAACCAAAGGTTATTTTTATAAAGATGAATAAAAAAATTAAAATATTTTTTAAATTTTTATATACACAATTTTAGTATTATGAATACTTGTCAGTTAAATTAATATTTAATTAGCATACATATCTTTTAAATATATTTTGGAAGTTATTGATATTGTTTTTATATTTAAAAATGAAACTATATTAAGATTTATAATTTACGAAATTGTTTTTAAATAATCTGAGCACTTAATTATATAAATGATAGCTTGTCTATTTTCTTAACTTGAGTTCATTTGAAAGAAAAATTTGATAAGATCATTTTTTGTAAGAAAATTAGTTTTTGGTGTTAACGATTTTAACCAATTTTTTTTACTCTGTATTTTATATTTGGAAGAATAAGTGTCTTACATCCCTAGATATTTTTAATAAATTTTAAACAAAATTGTGTTTAGACAAATTTAAATTATCTTTGCTTCCTCAACCCATATTTTTAACACAAAATTTGCATAAAACATATAAAATGATCTTTTTATTTATAAAAAATTTAAGCAATGGTTCCCCTAACCTAGTATTTAGCAGTGTTGTTAAACGCTACTTTTAAAAGTAGCGCGCTATCGCTACCGCTATTTTATAAAAAAAGTTCAAATGAGTAGCGCGCTATTAGCTACTTTTTACGCTACTTTGATTTTTTTTTTAATATTTTTTTTTACATAACTTTATTTCCACAAATAAAATATTGATATAAAAACATGACTATAATTTGTTACATATATATATATATATATATAATTTATTTATTATTGCATTTTAATAATAATAACATTTCGGTACTGTCATCCCCAAGTCTAGAGCGACAATCAGAAAGTATAAGCTTTGCCATACTAAATAATCGTTCAGCACTAGCACTTGAGGCAATGCAGTATTAAATTTAATAAACAAACTTTTTATATGGAAAAAATCATCAAAAATATTTAAATTAGTATTTTTAGATTTAAAAAAAGCATCTAGAGGTTAATTAAAAATACTTCAGTATATTCTTTAATAAAAGTATGCTCCTCCACATTAAAATACTGTATTCCCATTTGATCCAATATATAATTCATTTCCATTTTTTTCTCATCTAGAAACAATGCTAAAAGTTTCATAGCATTGTAAACACTATTCCATCTTGTATTGTTTGGTGTCAATAAATAACGACCTAATTTTATTTTTGAAAATATCAGACGTCTTTGATGACTTATTTTGTTTATTCCAAAGAGCTTGGCATTTAGAAAATAATCCTCTTCAGCATCCACTGTCGCAACTAAATTTAGGTTGTGGCAGGAACAACGATGATGGTAGGTAACATAGAAGACTTTATTGAAGATCCTAAATATTATAAATTTATTTTATATTGGTGAAAAATTAAATATAAAATAATTTAAAACCGAGGATGTCATGAACATCAATTATCTCAAACTCCATTTCATCATCCTCTACTTGTTCTCCATCTTCAATATTTTTGTCAGGAATATTACTAGTATTGTTATTATTATTATCTTCCCCAAATACTCTATATTATTTATATCATATTATAAAAAAATTATAATAAATTTAAAACCTGAAGGCCTTCAGGAAATTAGACCCATTATCCGTAATCATCTTACAAACCTTGTTTTGAATTTTGTAAGACCTATGGATTACTGCAATAATATTGGCTAGAATGTCATAAGTTTGACAGTCAATTATATTCTTTAGCTAACACTACAGATTTTCGTTTAAGATTTTTAGGATCAATCTAATGTGCAGTTACTCCTAAATAAGCTCTAAAAATATGACATATTATAAATCAGATAAACATTTTTACCTTCTATTGTGAGTCCATCAATCTGCCGTTGTACAGACGTAGGAGACATCTGATAGATTTAATATCAAAGATTCTTTCATTTCCTTAAAGCTCTCCAAAATTCTTGCCATCAATGTCTGCCGGCAAAATATCTTGGTCCGTGGAGAAAAAGTGTTTATCATCTTTATAAAAGAATCATTATCCACCAAGGATAATGATTGAACTGTATCTATTATAAAGTTCATAATGACTTTGTCAGCCAATTTTTGTGATACACCAGGTGTTGATGAATCCAAATTGGTTAATTTTGTTTGTATTAAATTTGATTTGGAAGTAGGTTTATCTTCTTCCATTACCCCAAACTTTTGAGATATTTTTCAATCTCTTTATAATTTGAAGTGTGCACAGTCTAAAATTATAAAATACTTAGAATAAAAATTATGTAGGAGATAAGTACATAAAAATGATTGAAATAACTATTTTAAAATGTTTTAAATAATTTAGATAAAATTTATGAATATATAAAAAAAATGATTGGTTTTTGATTTTAATTTATTTTAAAAATTAAAGATTAGCCTACACATTGATATTAAATTTGTTTAATATATTACATTTTAATGTTTTTTCAAATTAAAGCTGCTCGTATGATTTGAAGAGATAATTTTGCGGCACATCTTGCACCGAAACCGATATCCAGTATTAATTTTTTCTTCAAGGTTAAAATATTTCTTGAATTTTGGGAAAGGATCATCTATATTTTGCTCATTTTCCAAAGAAATTTCAATATCTTCAACAATCTCACACATAACAAGATTTATAATGCTTAATATAAAATGTAAAATGAAATATAAAATAAGATAAAAGCTAGGACATACCAATAACGGAATTTCAAAAATATATAATTTAATGAATGCGCAAAATATAAATTGAATACAGATTGCTATTTAACAACTGTTTTTATCTAATATATAACAATAATGTGTATTTTTAAATATAAATTTAAATTTCAAAATTAAATTAAATAAAAGGATTATAATTTTAGATTTTATAAAAAATATATTTTAATAATTTTTAGATGTATTTATTATGTAAAATTGAAAGCTACTTCGCTACTTTCTAAATTAGTAGCGAGCTACCGCTATCGCTATTTTTTTTAGCGCGCTATAGCTACCGCTACTGAAAAAAGTAGCGCGCTACATGGCTCGATTTAAGCCAATTTTTAGAAATAACTCAACATTATAGCTAGGAAGACATTGCCTAAGTGTCGAGATTTTGCCAACAGATGTTCAATCCTATGTGCCATCTATGAGCATAATCTTTAGGCATCGCATAATATTTTTCAGGATAAAATATTGAGGTAGCCATTTTTGAAAATCGCCATAAATTGAGCCTTTTAACAACGCTACTAGTATTTAACCTCTCGATTTGGGTCAATTGAAAAATGGCCCAATTAAGGTTTTAACCCAAATAATTTGGCAAATAGAGGTACCAACCTTTCTATCACTTATGAAAACTCTGATTAAATGAAATCTTAATTCTCACATATTTTTAAAAATCGGTCCTTTAACTATTGTTAAATGGCGTAATTTTTTTAAAAAAAAGGTTTATACAATATTATATTGAGATTTTGTCAATAGAAGTCCAGACCTTTCTGCCAGCTATAAACAAATTCTCCAGACTTTTATAATATTTTGTTAGCTAAAATCTGTGGTTAACCATTCATAAAAATGGAACTGTTTAGCAACACTATTCATAATAAACTAGTATTTAAAATTGAATGGATTTTTTATTTTATTTTGAAAAAATGAACAATATTGTTCCCTAATAATCTAATAAAAAAAAGTTGTTTGTTTTAAAATGTAATGAGAATATAATCGTAATGGGTGATTCCATGATAAATCGACCAGTGATTCAGATGATCATTTTTTTAAAATAAATGAAACTTGGCATGAGAGCTTTTTCCTCTTGTGATGAATCTTAAAATACTTAAAATATTCTTGAAGTAACAAATTTTATGCAGCCCTTAAAATTCTCTTTAAGAAAAAGCAATTAGTAATTTCAGTGTCAATATTTCTGGTAATACAAAATAAATTATTTTAAAGAGTGTCCCATTTAAAATTGTGAAACTCATGAAATGGCCAATATAATTATATATATAAATAAAAATATTAATCTAAATTTTTTTTTAGTTTTTTTTTTTATAATTTTAGGAATAGAAAAATCAATTATAAAGGGTATTTGAAATGATGGAACAAACTCGGCAAATATGTTCATTACCAATTATTTTAAATATTTAAGTAAAAAATATTAATGGTGAAAATTATTGTATAACTATAGTTATACCTAAAATAATTTTTATAATTAAAAGTTTGAACATATCAGATTCTAAGGATATTTTGATAAAAATGGTAACTACGATAGAGATGCTAATAAATATTTAACTAAATAAAATTCTTTGATTTTTTATTTTTTTTTGAGATATCCATAGTTCCGATCATGCTGATAGTATAAGGAGGTTCAGGGACAATAAAAGTAAAAACAGCGGCTTTCTTGCTATTTTATTTAGTTTATTATAATTTTAGGAATAAAAAAAGCAATTATAGAGGGTGCTATATAGAAAAATTAATTATAAATGGTATTTGAAACGATGGAACTCAGCAAATATGTTTATTACCAATTATTTTAAATATTTAAGTAAAAAATATTAATGGAGAAAATTAGTAGAAAATTTTATTTGGTTTATCATAATTTTAGGAATAAAAAAAGCAATTATAGAGGGCGCTATCTATCAAAATAATTATTATTTTCTTTATATTGGGATTCAAAAAAATATTTTTTATGTATATAATAATTTTATAGAAATATTGATGGTATAATTATAATTAACTTTAAAAATAGCGCCCTCTATAACTGATTTATTTATTTCTATTATAAAAACTAAATAAAATTTTAATGCCTATTTTCTCCATTAATATTTTTTCTTACTTAAATATATAAATACGAGCAGAAAGCCAGCCCACCAAGAATGACGTGGGATCAGAATTCTTATCTCTACATTGATAAAATTGATATCCATTCGCATTGTGTTGAGATCTTTTTTGAAAATCTTTAGTAAAATTTGAACCCGAATCATTTTCCATGCATGAGGATTCAAAAATACCACAGGGTGCATGTACCGTAAAGCGAGTTACAATATCATGTAATTTTTATCTGGGATTTCAGCTTGAACAAAATTATCTATACATTCAGCTGTTTCGATTTATTATTTTCGCACATTATAATGAGCATGAGGCAATCCTTTCATTGGAAACTCTATGATATAAAGGTATGCCTAACATTTGCCAAATAAAATCTCTTTCTTTTTGATAATATCATGTAATAATTCTAATAATTTTGAATGAATAACTCTGGCTAATAAATCATATCTATCTGAAGGGTTCTGGCCTTTATAGAGATTTTCGTTAATTTTCTAAATAAATCCAGCTTACCATACTTAGAAACGATTGCCATAGCATCATGACATCGTTCACACACGTTTCTGTGGGACTCCTGAAAAGAAGAAGGCAAAATAACGGCTCTCCCTATAGGTAAATTAATATTATCTTATGCTTTTGAAATATGAATTATAAGCCCTGAATAATCCTACACACGTAATTTTGATTGGTTTAATTTTATATGATTCAAATTGTTAGCTTCGACTTGGGGATAAGAATCAACAACATATTGATGAAATAAGTCGCCCAGCATAAAGAATAGGATTAAAAATGTCAGCACGAATAGCTAATCTGGATATTTTAAATTGTAACATAGTTATATTTGATCTTGTTCCCTTGTTAAATGGCCCATTAAATTTCATATCAGTACACCAAGGATACACCATAGGATTTGGGGTAAGAATATTTAAGATAACTAGATTTGAATCAGCATTTCGTGGATAAACTTTAAACATCACGTGGAAAAGTTGGTTCTCCATCATGGCTACTTCATCAATAGTGGGAATATTAAATCTTCTATCATTGGCACGATTGTGGGCTAAAAGTCATATTTACCTTTGTTACAGGGCGGTTTTCTAACTGAGCCTTCATTTCTTCGGCCTTCTCAACCTCACCCAATGGTTTAAAGCTAATAGCATATGTATTTATTTGACGTTAATAAATGAATGTCACAGGCCGAATTTTATTTTTAAAAGTAAACGATTTTCAATCACATGATTGTGCACATTTTTGGGGAAACGCCATTGGCAGTATATAAATGTGAAGTTCGATGGTAACATGAAACCATCATGGATGACATAGTGATATGAAATTTAATGGGCCATTTAACAAGGGAACAAGAGCAAATATAACTTTGTTGCAATGTATAATATCAAGATTAGGCTATTCGTGCTGAGATTTTTAATCTTATTCTATTCTTTATGCTAAGCCATTATTTTATCAAGATGTTGTTGATTCTTATGTCCAAGTCGAGTCTAATAATTTGAATTATATAAAATTAGTCTACTCAAAATAACGTGTAAAGGATTATTCAGGGCTTATGGATCATATTTCAAAAGCATATGGTTTTATATTAATTTACCTATAGGAAGAGCCGTTATTTTGCCTTCTTCTTTTCAAGGGTCCCATAGAAACATGCGCGAACGATATCATGATGCCAGATTGATTTATAACATATACATGCGATCCCAATTGGAGAGAATTTTAAAAAAATTATAGCGCCCTCTAAAATTGCTTTTTTTATTCTTAAAATTATAATAAACTAAATAAAATTTTACTACTAAGTTTCTCCATTAATATTTTTTTACTTAAATATTTAAAATAATTGGTAATAAACCTATTTGCTGAGTTCCATCGTTTCAAAAATCATTTAGAATTGATTTTCCTATATTGTGCCCTCTATAATTGATTTTTTTATTCCTAAAATTATAAAAAAAAACTAAATAAAATTTTAATTCATATTTTTACCATCAATATTTTTATTTATATATATATAAATATATTGGCAATAAACGTATTTCATGAGTTTCGCCATTTTTAAATGGAATACTCTTCAAAATAATTTTTTTTTGTCTTACCGGAAATACCGACACTGAAATTCCTATTTTCTCAAGCAGAATTTTAAGGGCTACAAAGATGATATAGAATCTGTTAGTTTAGACCAAAAACATTTTGAGTAGGAGATGTGCTGATATGGAATATCGGATCAAATCGGTGCCGGTATTTAACGTTTTCCAAAAATATCGGATTGGGCCGATACTTATAAAAAACCTGATCAAATCTTTTTACTTTTCATTTTTTTTTTGCAATGCAAATGCACAACACCCCCTAAATTTTATTAATTTTTTTTTAAAATAGATTTATAGTATTTTAAATGTTTTTTTTTTATAATAATAACGCCACTTATTATATACTTTAAATCAAAGAATCTTTTTAAAAAAATAGGGTTCCTGAATTATGGAATATCGGATCAGTTTTGAACCAATATCGGAGGATCGGATCGGTGTATCCCTAATTTTGAGTATTTTAAGATTCGTTAAAAGAGGAAAAGGCTCCTTTGAAGTCTCTTAACTAGGGGTATGTTTAAGCTAGGGTTTTTAAAATTTGGATTTATATAAAATACACAATCTATTTAACCTTCATGCCCAATTCGCCCATTTTGAAGTCGCACGAAGATCACTTTATTTTGGTCGATTTGTCATGGAATTACCCTATTATAGTGTTAATTTGTATAACATTTTATATTAAATCAGAAACCTGTAGAGGTACCATTTGCATGGCCCTGCCCAGATTTTTGTATTTCGAAAATTTTTTCGGAAGGTCCTAAAAAAAATTAGGCCAGGGCCTTGTACTTTGTTCAATTCTCCCGATCTCTGAAATAACTAGCAATAATTCATAATTTTTATGGAAATTCAATTCTATTTTAGGTCAAAATGGCCTTACGAACATCCGGCCACCTACTCTTAGGTGTGGTGCGCATATACAGCAGGAAGGCGAAATACCTATTAGCGGATTGTAATGAGGCTTTCGTAAAAATTAAGATGGCTTTCAGACCAGGGGCCATAGATTTACCGATGACAGTGGTTGGTGGACACATGGGCGACTTGTATGATCCTTTATCCAAAGATGGAAGTGCCAATTATTTATTAGGGACTGGTACCTCTAGTTCCGCTCTTACTACTTTAACGTTACCTCAAGTCTTTCATCAATTTGACACTGCGCTCTCAGATCTCAAGTTTGTATGTACATATATTAAGAATAATGGTCTGGCTCAAACTAAGCAAAAATAAAACCTAATTTTTGTTTCTCATCGCAAACGTAAAACATATGCTGAGCCTAAAAAAAATACACTAAATTCGCATCTATCGTGAAATTGAGTTGAGCCAGGCTTGAAAATTTATTTCTAAATTAAATTCTACAGAAGAAGATTCCATTTGATACAAAAATATCTGTGTTATTTAAAAAAAAAAGATTTTTATTACCAAACCTAATTATAATAAATTCATATATAAATTATTTATGTTTAATTCTATATTTTTTTTAGTGATATGGATCTTGTAGGATCTCTCAATCAAGCACGGGAGGATGAAATCACTCTCAAGGAAGATTTTTCCTTTGTCCATTTTAATGGCGATGGTTTTGGTAAGTAAATAAATTTTCTGCATACTTTTTTTTTAAAATCCTGAATATTATGAGCTAGTATCTCTAGTGAGGTTAACAGAAGCTAGTTTAGACCCTAAAGATTTCCGAAAAAATTGGTTTTATTTTCTTCTAGGGGGGACAAAACAACCAGATTTTTTTATTGGTTACTGAACTCGATCTGAATGTATTCTCAACTTGGGGTAAATTTATTATCGGTTTCTTGAATGGTCTGGGCTAATTTAGTTATCCATTACATAGCATGTTAGAAAAATTGTTATAATTTTTAATATATACTTATTACATTCAAAACTTTCCTTTTTTTTTTAAATTACCCAATATAACTAGTTCCAAATCAATTTATACATATAAATAGTATTGAAATTATTTAAATATTTAGAACCTTCGCAATATTATCGGAGAACATTCGTGACTTAGCCATAAATATTTATACATATCTCTTTCATTAACTCCGTTAGAGATCTGCTAAAGTAGGCCCGGCCGGAACCCGGCCTAATATTTTTTTTAAAGAAAATTGGGACCGGGTTGTACCTTAGAAATTTTTCTAAAATATATCTTAAATTTATCAGTTTTTGAATTTTTTTTAATGTAAAATAAAAATACGCGATTTTATTTAAAGAAAGTAGACGGCATATAAACATATATCGTTTATTTTGAGTAATTTATATAAATTAATTTCTGTATTTAAGTAAATACGGGCCTGGCTGGGCAAAATATTATAAAAAAAAAATGGCGGGCTTGAAAAATTAGGCCCGATACGCACTTGCATCTATCGCATCTCCTATATAGGGCTCATTTAGGTTTAAGCGTATTTTTTTGGAGAAAAATCACAACTTTTAAAACGCCATATTTTTTTTTTATCAAGAAACGCGCTCGTATTTCCGCCACGTTTTTTTCTTCTTGGAATGAACCCCACATTTTTGCCAACATGTGGAATCTATCTATTTTCTTATTTTTTTAGAATAATTTGAAAATTAAATATTAAAATTAAATTTATTAAATAAAAAAAATGTATGGATTATCGCACCCAGATAAACTCATTTTGATTTTTCCCCCCACCTTTAATGACTCAAGAATTCAAATCCTATACATTTGAAAGAATAATCTTCTTTGGTGCAAATAATGGAATGAATCTTTCTTTGTTGAATTGTATTTACGTTTTTCGATTTTCCGTTGATTAACATTTGAAAATAAAAGTTGTAATTATTGACCTTTACCAACGTTGGACATTGTTGTTTTGAAACCTTATTTTGAACAAACTTTAAAAATATTTTTTTCTCCAGGTGTGATAACCGACTTCGGAGCAGACGATTTTTCCATTGATCCTCATCATTTCCAAAATGGCGGAGATGCGGGAAATCACCTGATGGACGAAACCGACAACATGTATGCCTTGGCGGACCCTTTGGCAGACAAAATGGGCCAAGATTCTTCCTCCATTGACGATTTTCGGCGAGAGGTCGACGGATCAGCCATTTCAAAGGATATGAATTTGATGGAAGAACCGGGGACCTTGAGCCTGGACTCGTTTTACGACAAGCCGCTTCGCGATGACGGGTTCGGAGCGAGTTCTTCTGAGGCCGGATTATTGGGTAAAAAAAAAATTTTTAGCCGAACCCCAAATTTTGGCTGTTATTTAGTTATAAAATGACATTTATGTAAATAAATTTTTAAATAAATCATACACAATATAGGTGAAGGTTTTATTGGCGATAATAGCCTCTTCGATGAAGCTCCCCTGAGTGTAGCCTCACTTCCGGATGTGGATGACGACATGGACGATCAACCGAGTTTGTCACTATTTCAAATTTTATTTGTAATTTTCTTAAAAATAAATGCCGAGAAATTCTATGATTACTTTACTCCAAGCATTTGTGTATCGTAGTTTAGAACTACTGTTTTGTGCTTAGAACATTTGCCCTGCTCAGTAAGAGACAAATTTGCGAGAATAATTATTATATACCTATCTACCCCGATATATGTAATTGCAGCTATGCCACAGGCCGACATTTCCACAACCCCATCCACGTTACAGCCAACTACATTGGGTGGTGTCGATCAGGCCTCCGTGCTCTTTCAAAGTGTGGTAGATGGAGCCAGTAGTATCCTCGATAAAAATAACATGGACACTACGCCCTCTTACAATCTATCGTACAACAATGCGACTACCTTTAACCTGGGTAGCGCTTTTGATCAACGGGAAATTTTCGCCCTGGAGCCCTTAGACGTAACGGCGCTCTCTTGTAATATTCATTCAATCAACTATGTTTATATTTATTTAGAAATTTTATTTAAATTACTATTTTTCTAAAATTCGGCATATTATGTTTAATTTTAATATGTTAAATATTATAACCTTGTCATCGATCAATCAATCTTAATCAGCTTCTCGCTCTGCTGATGCTTCCTCTAAACTGGGCATTCCCACTTCCTCGAGCGCCTCCATTTCCCAAACGATACCCCCCGCCAAACCCTCTGTTAAAACCGGTTCGGGCCCGGGCTTTCACCACAAGAGGAAACTGCTCGTGGACTCCCAGAAGGGTTTAAACGGAGACGAAATGAAACGACAATTGGCCGATAGTTCTGACCTAGTTACCGATCTCAACCTGGCTCCCCCTTCCAAACGGCTCATGCAATGGAAGGAGACGGGCGGGTGCGGAAAACTTATAAAGACCCTGAGAGGATTTGGGAGAACCACCCGATCTAAATCGCCAGACAGGGTTCTTTTCTCGGATTCTCAGTCGCTTTCTAAGGTTCGAATTTATTTAACGCTTACGATGAAGTCTTTATAATTGAAAGCTAGTTTAAAAAATTTTTGAAGAAGTATTTTTAAATTCTTCCTAAAAGTTGGCCATCAAGTTTTGTTTTGATGTAAATCATAAAGTCTATTATCTTCGGGTAACACAAATAATAGATATTGTTATAAAATTTTTAAAAAAAATTTAACTTAGCAGATCTGAAAGAATCTGTGCGAATTTTCCCAAATTGGGAAGAACCGATTTAAATTTGTTCAAAAATTAACCGGAAATGAAAATTAGTTCTTTCAAAATTAAGACCGTGGTCGAAACGTTGTAACTTACCGGTTCGACTCTCGACTTTTTAGGAATTTAAAATTTTGAAAATCGGGATTTGGGGGTAACGTATCGTTTTGTTCAATCGGATTGTTATAGTCCATCTTGAAGATTCGTTCACTTTAGGCACGTGATTTCGTGAATCGAATCCTTTAATGATCCTTTTTATATGAGAGAGAGATAAAAAGGAAACCTAATGGTTTCTTATGATGGAACTATATATTTTTTTTTATATTAAACACTTGCATCTTATGCATTATAATTATTTTTTTATATGTTAAATAGCTTTACAACCAGCAAATGTCATCGGCTGTTAAGGCGATCGCGGATATGATCAATAAACAAGTGCTCAGCTTGAACATGATCGAAGATGAAGAACGTTCCATATTCGGGAGCGGATTTAATAGGCAGCCACATGGTCTCACGAACAAACAGAATACGCTCGACGTAAACGAAACGAAAGGTACCTACATTTTTTTTTTTTTTTTTTTTTAGGCTAACAGTTTAAATGATAAATTATGCTATCTGCATTCTGATTCATTTATTTACAGACCATTAGCAAACGCGATTAATAATTTATATATACATGGCCAGAGAGAAAGTTTGAAAATCTCTTCAAAAAATCCTCTTTTTTGAGAATTGCTTTTCAAACAAGCTTTTTGATCAAATTTTACCTTTAAAATTCATAATTTTTTCTTTTGTAAAAAAAAAAACTTTCTGGATTTTGAAATCATCAATTTTTGGCCAAAAAAAATCATTGAAAATTTTTCCCTCTTTCAAACTCTGATACACCTACACCAACTTCTTACCCTGGCTTCAGTTTTTTTTACTGGCTGACCTGAATATTTAAAAATTTTCGACTGATAAATTAAATATGATTCGCTGGCTTGAATATTTATTTGAAAGTTTAGTTTTTTATTGTCCCCATTTCTATGCCGGGTACACACCTCCAATAAAATTTTGTGAACCTTATGAAGCTCGCCCTTTTTATTTTGAACTAGAACTTTTTGATGAACTAAGTTGTAATGTTGTTAAACTGACTAAACTTTCAGTCAAACTATAAAACAGCATAGCCATGTTTTTATCCACAAAATATTCTAATCGATCATCAAGTCAAGACCCAACTTTTGGGAGGTTTAATTCAATTTTTTAGGCTAAAAGCTTGACTTAACACCATAGAGACGGGGTCAAGGGTTAGATAATTTAACAGCGCTATCAAGTCGCATATATTTATTTTAAAATTAATATTTTTATCGAAAAAAAAATTTGTTCAGATCCAGAAACACCCTCTAAGCGAATCAAATTAGATTCGATACCAGAATCGCCTTTCAAAAAATTGGATGGTAATTTTTTTTTTACTCCAAATTTATTCTCCATAAATAAACTTCATCTTAATAATTTCGCCAAAATAATAATGAAGGGAAGGTGGGGGGGGGGGGGGTGTGAAATAGAAACTAGAAAATAAAAAATGGAAGAGATATTTTAAAGAATAAACGAAAGAATGATTAATGTCTTTATTATATATCTCGATAAATCAAGGAGATTTTGACGACGAAGAAAGCCACGCCTCCCCTGGCGGTTACGTAGACGAGGGCGATGACGACGAATATTTCGGACTGAGGAACAGCGATAATCAGTCCCAAAAAACTCCTATTCACCTGGACAAAGTTTAATTTTCTTTTAAAATATTTTACATGTTATATCTTTATTAATTAAATTCAAAATGGAGTTGTTATATCACTTATTCCTTTTAGGCGTTAATGCTATAGGTTGACAAAACTTTCTGTGGTTATATTTATCTCAAAATATGGCTACGGCTGTTTTGGGTTAGATTTGTAAAGATCCTTGCCCCGAAATTTATCATTACCAATGTAAATGATCTAATGTATCTGCAGCAAGATAATCATCTTTTTTTATATTGGTGTAGGAAAATTGTTAAATATTTATTTTATATCGTAATAGTTGAATTATCAGTAGTTATGACTTCAATTCATATCACATTATGCCTTATGAATATGATTGGCGTTGCTAACACGATCGTTGGCGTATTAATGTATTATGCTCATCATCAGAGGCTATTGCCGATTTCCTGCTATATTTTTACGCCAAACCAGTCTTTCTACCTCTCAAATCAAGTATTTGAGTAATTAATCATGTACCCCCTCCCCTTCAAAATGTTTC